AGATTCAGACCTCCTCTGAAGTTAACATCAGCAAAAGAGCTGTGTGCTGGGAGCTTCATGGCTTAGGTTTCCAAGGCTGCGCAGCTCCTGTAGGTGGCCCACTGCTTTTGTCGATATGCTGTGTATTTGTTGCAGTTTTTTTTCTGCTGCTTTCAAAAATATATATTTCAAAACGTATATAATTAGAATACAGTAAGCATACATCAAGTCAACTCAACAGCCACAAGACAAATCATTGTGTGCGTTATCCTCCTCTGACTCAAATAAGCGCCATAAACTGATTCTATGCTTCTATGCAGCCAGAGTTGTAACTGTGACCTTAGGGCTAAAGGCACAAACCGTCTATTTTTTATATATAGTCTGTGACTACATCCTATAATTTATGGTTAGTGCGCCTGACAAACTTCATGTGTTTGGTCTGCATAGGAATTACCTTCCTTTGCCTGGAATCCTTTGTTTGATGTATAGTAAGCTGCTGTTTGCGTCTAGTATGGTACCATATATTTGGCCTGCCTTAGCTCTTTTGTTCACCATTGATGTTATATGAGGGGGAAAATGACAACTCTTGAACTACCCACATCCCAAAGAGACTGAAATTTCCTATGTGCTTCCTCAAAACTGCTTATTAGGTGCTAGAACAGCTCCAGTCCTCCGTGACACATTCTTTGGATGTTGACAATGGATTTTGCAAAAGCAGTATAATGGCTTTTCTAATATGCAGTTATGGCATAGACAATCATTGTTATAAGTGATGGGAAACATCACTGGTAGTAAACAGTTTATCAGATGGCAAAATGTTGCAGATGACTAAATCAGTGTACTTTTGGAATGGGATTTCTTTCCATCTGTGTTATGTCTTCTTCTGCGCCAGCTGACAGTCTATTTATGTCTGTCTTCTCCTTCTGTTTCTCTATAATTGGGAATAGTTCCTGTGTCCACAGTACTCGTGAGCCAAACATGCCATCCTCTTTCCTCTGTGTTGCTTTAAGTGCTGAATTATCTTATTCACGCTTCCACTTGCTAAACCTTCTCTGTCTGACAACCCAGCTTCAAAGCTACCGCAATAATCCTGCTTACCGTCCTTTACTTAGCAGCTGAGCAGTTGTTTTACGTATCTCGGAGTAACTCCAATGGAATAAAGGTGAAGGAAGTGTGTGTTAAAAAGAGGCACTTTAGAGAAAACACGTTTATCGGGATCCTGCTTGTTACTGAGAAGTCATCGCCAACAAATTCTCTCTTATCTCACATTTATACACACACACACACACTCACTCATTCTGGAGACTTCTGTCTTATTATTCAAATCATGATGGCGCCAAACAACCTGTCAACCTGGATAATTTCCTCTCGTTAACATAAAAGGTCCGTGTCAGGCAGGCCATCAGTCACATTTTCCTCTCATGCAGAGTGCGTCTGCTCTTGGTGTCACCAGAAGGCATGAGAGACAGACGGTGAAGTATTTTGGCGTAGATTCCTTAAAGCAGGTTAAGGTTCAATTTCATCAGGTTTCTGATCGCCAGTCGCCCCAACCATCCAATAGCATTTGATTCATTATGAAACACTTTGCCCTCGAATACACAGCAGCTCTATTCAAAAGCTTTTGATATCCAAATATATCTGGCTGGCTGACCAACACTGTTACACATAAATATCGCAGTTTTGTCAGAAACTGGTAGCATCACAGGTGTATGCACAAGGTGGTCTGTGGTGTTGCTGCTAAGATACACTAGTTGTGCAAACTGCTCCGTTTTTAAGGGCGACAATGTCCACATCAGGAGGTAAGAGAGGTGGCAGTGGAAGTGATACCACCCAGTGTTTTCACATTTTAAAGCATCCACTTTGGTGTGATGGCCACCACCAGCTCATTCTTGGAGCCAGGTGTAACTGCTTGGAGGGATGCTTTATCGGCATGAAAGTTTGGTTACTAAGTTGTAGCCACAGATGACACAGTGATGAGAGGCTTATTGATAAATACAAACTTTCCGGTCACTAAAACTAGATTGCAGGCTTTCAAGCCACAATATATATCCACCCATTTAAAATTCCTCCAACTACACAAACTCAGTGAAACAGTAACTTTCAAGACAGGTGGAGTTCAGTAACTTCAATTAAAAGAGGCCATCTACACAGCGTGTGCTGTTACACAGATCAGTCAAAGCAGCCTAACTTAGTCGCGACAGCATTTAGGGGTTTTAAAATAATCAATTTGACTCGCTTTTGAAGCCAGCCTCCAGTGACCCTTAAGGAACTGCAGTTTTTGGCACTTGGCTTCATTTATTAGGCCCCGAGGTTTCCGAATTTATGTCAGCTCGCTGTTAGACTCCTCTCACTACTGCCATGACTGGTCCATCACAGCAAAGTGCACTTAATGTTTTACCTTTGGGGCACTACATGGCCTTCAGCCTGTATCAGTCTGTGTGGTAAATGCCTTTGGAGGAAAACATGTACGCTATAATCTCAAGGTCTCCGTGTTGGTCTGAGAGTGCTTTTTTTTTTATTCCTCTATACCAACGTGTAATAGTCTGTTTTTAAGGACCGCTTCAAGAGGGGATTTAATACCTGCATTTATCTTCCTATCTAATGACGGAAAAGAGAATATGGCTGTGTATTTTTTGGAACAGCACGTGTTTTAAATGTATTTCCATGTTGTGTCTGCTTGGATGTCATCATTAGCATGGATTATGAGATATTTTATTTGGCCATTGTATTACAGAAATATATATATTTTGACTAGTTGAATGACGGAAAGGCCACGAAGTGTGACCGGTAACTAAAGCCTTGAAACTATAATACGATGCTTCATGGCGTTAGATGAAGGAGAGCTGATTCCCAAAGCTCATTATTGTTGGAGTGGAGCATTTCAGTGCTACTGATCTGCATTCCAGGGCAGCACCACTCATTCCACACTGGTGCAACTAATCAGCAACTCTACATTTTAAATTCAGATTGTTGTTTTGATGACGGCTTGTTCTCCAAGGCATTTTATTGACGCTATTGCTTGTCCTGATTGTATTTATTTATTCATTAGCAAAGCCTTTTCTTTTCTTTCTCTTTTTTTACTTTTTATTTGCATCATCAGCTTCTTATGAGCAAGTTTAAAAAAGTGTTTGAAGTAGTACATGGTTAAAACGAGCATGAGTGTGCAATTTTAACAGATACACCTGCAACATGTGAAGCAAAACACAAGCTCTGATATTCATTTTACTTTTTTTACGTGAAATATTATGTTTTATCAAATTATGTATTTCTTAAATATCTGGGTCATTTTATATGTCCTGTACTACTTATTAGCAGTGTTGGGGACGTTACTCACTACTGTAGAAACATGGATAGGTGAAAATGGAAGTTATAGTGCTGCAAGTTAGAGTTGGATGTCTCAAGACTGGTCTTGGTCTCGAGACCGCTTTTACGTGGTCTTGGTCTTGACAGACTTTGGTCTCGGTCTTGTCTTGGTCTCGGATCCCTCGGTCTTGTCTTGGTCTCACTGTCTCCATCTCGCTGTCTCAGATCGACATAGTGGTCGGGAGATTTGGAGTCAACAGTATCCATGATACACAATGTAACGAGCAAGAGCCGGCTCCTCACTTAATTTCCTTTCACTGCTCAGCTCTCACACAGTGACTCAGCTATGCTCCAATCCCTCCATATTGTGGCCAATCACATGCGAGGATACAAGATAATATCATTATGTGGAAAAACAGAGAGGGTGAGAGACGCGACAGTCAAGTGGAGCATGCGTCTGTCCTCTCAGTAAGTGAGTGAGACAGTAGACAGCAGTGAGGAGGGCTGTGCGAGTGCATTGCAAAAACACATAAATATGCCTGACACCCGTAAACGAAGCAGCATCTGGCTGCAGTTTGGAGACTTTTTTGTCTCGGTCTTGGTCTCGTCTCAACTTTGTCTTGGTCTTGACTCGGTCCGTCTTGGTATTGTCTTGGTCTTAGTTTAGGCGGTCTTGACTACAAGTCTACTGCAAGTCTGACTGCTCATCACTGCCTCTGTTACCTGCTGAAGTTCAGGCTCTGGCGGCTGAGCTGGGGTCAGCATTCACTCATCTAAACAGCATTCTGGGTTCTTGGCTAGCTTTGTGTTAGCATGCTGGTTGTGCAAGTGCCAAAGAGAGCTAAAGTTGTGTTAGCAATTGTTTCTGTTCTAGACGTAGTTTGCATGTCACTACAGCGCTCTTGTTCTTTAGTGCAATAACAATTTAATGTCCAATCCTCAAAAGCTGTAGATCACGCCAACAGTTTCCTCCGCATCACAAAGTAAAATAGGTTGATTACAGCTAACTGTAGTAATAAGACGTGAAGGCAGCGCCATGCACAAAACTGCTGTAAATAACAGATTTAAAACTGTCTTCTTAGACTGATATTTCAAAAGCATTCTATGTCTTTTTGTTATTGTTGTGATTTGTATTTTGAAAGGCGGTGTAAATAAATAATGTACTTACGTACTGCTCCCTTCACAAAACACCACAGACTGACTACTGGAACAGACAGCGTGTCCAACAGGGACCTTGCAGACTGTCAACTAGCAGCTTTGTTAAATAGTGCCCGCATGAGCAAGGCGAAGATGTATGACATCTTCCCTTTTTTGACACTTTGGATGATATATGATACACTTGCATTAGGTAGCACAATGTGCCATTAGTACACTGACGGTTGCTGGAAATATGTTTCGGGACTTGTATCTAGATATTCTGTCAGAAACCATGACAAATTAATTGTTGACTTGAACTATTTTCAACTTTTACAACCAATTTCTTGTTATATTAGAACAAACATACTTTGATTTTTGAAAAAATGCCATCCAGGAGGGGCTGAGATGGATGGATAGACGGATGCATGGACTTATGTATCATTTATTTTTGTATTTTTGGTCCACAGTGATTCATTTGAAGGCTCTTCCACCCGTAAATGTGCTCATAATAACAAGTTTGCAGGATTTTCTGTTTGAAGCCTCATCATGCTGACCTCATTTCCCCCTTTTCCCTCTGGTAGCAGCCTTCAGAGGAGGCTTCCCTGCTGGTGTCCAGCCCCAAGATGCTGCTCCCAGCATCAGGCATACTGCCACCCAGCACCCCGTTGTCTGTGCACCACCAGATCCAACTGCTCCAGCAACAGCTCCAGCAGCAACAGCAGCAGACACAAGTGGCTGTGGCACAGGTGAGTGTCATCCAGTGACATTATGTCTCCCATGAAATCTGCTTGCACAGGAATAAAAATATGCTTTTTTACACATTTAAATTACATTTCACATCACTCCAGTACTTTCACACTGCTCACTACAATCCTCACCATAGTGAAGTTGCTAAATTTCTGCAGAGTAAATCGTTACGAACCTCCAAACTTCATGTGGCCTCTTTTCGGCTATAGTCTTATGGGTAAGCTTGCAGAATGTAAGAGAAGATGAGCACAGAGAAAACACTGTAGCTATGGTCAGTGTGATCGCTCATATATTTATTCACTTTTAAAATATAGATGCAAAATAACAATAGAAATAGAGCAACAGTCTGGTGTAAGCTAATGAATTATGAACAGTGTATTGGTACAGTGGTGATTGATTTTAAATCAATACACAACACTAACCCACAGACCTCAGTTTAAGAGCACATTTCTTTCACCTGTAGGTTGCAACAACCACACCCTCGGTCTGTCCGCCCATGCTATATCAGTTACTGTTTCTGCTGTGTACAAGGATGCTAGAGTACCTTCAAGCTTGTTGCCAAAATTCATCTCTAATTGGGACTTGTTATTCTGCTTTCCATCCGACTTTGCTGAAGTAGCTATTCAGGATTGACAGCTCAGAATAATCCTTCTTTGCATTAGACTAGGACTTGGTGAAGTCCCTTAGTTCACTTACTGTCTGAAACAAGCTGTTTACACTCGCTCCACCCACCTTTAAACCAACATTGTTCTGACAGCTGGTGCTGAGCGCCTGAAAGAGAATATTTAGAGCAATCTGAACCCTGAGCTTTTGGCTCACAGGGATTACTTATACATACACGTCATCTGAAACTTTGGCCATGTTTGATATGAGCATCCATCACTATAATAGTGACTGAAAATGAGGCAAAAGAATAATAGGCCTCTTTTCATTTTGTATTAACAGTAATTTCTGAATTCCCTTGGGTGGAAAGGATAATCAGTGGAATGACTCACGGGTCACTGACAAATTAAGGAGATCAACACATGCCTGTGGTCTTGGAGAGGGAAAAAGTGCAAAGCACATCTAGCATGAGACATCAGTCATCCAGTTTGAGTGGCTGTAGTGGGGGAGGAGAACAGTGACAGAAATGGCTTTGGGTTTGCGAGCTGGATCAACACACATACACAGAAGGCCTTAAGATTAAGATTAGAAAGTGCCATTTCATAGCTCAGCACGCTTTCCCTTGTGGATTCTTCACTCACACTGCTGACCCAGAAGCATCCCAGAGAGTTAAATTCTGACGTCTCAAAGCTTCTAGAGAGGGAGGCGGAGGTCCTGATTAAACTGCCCGGCCACACTGAACTTTACTGTTCTCATCTTAAGATGGAGATGAACAAACAAACTGCTGCCACAACTGACAAATCACACATTCAGACTGAGCATGCCCATACATAGGTGCGATCAATTACACACTAATAAGGCCAAAGGTAGCTGCCCACGGGCAGAGGAACTAGTGTGTGTATTTTTTTTTAAATGTATCAAAACTGCTTTGGAACATGAAGTAACGATTTTCACCTCATGAAATGTTTCAAACGAGTGCGTTCCAGGCATTTGTGTCTGACCTTGGTTCTTTTGCCATTTAGCAAGGTTTCCCAAGTGATCGTAACTTGTCTGAGATGCTGTAGCAGTTTGCTTCCACACAGCATCTAAATTAGTTTCTCCTCAGTTTATTTCCTTAAAGGCTTCTGGCTGCACTCTGCTGTTTCTACCATCCATCTCTGCAATGCTTAAATAACTACCTCAGCTATCGATCAAATAATTGACAGAAAAAGAATCTAATATTGAATCATTTATAAGGCCTAACTTCTCAACTTTATGAGGTCAAAACTTAAGCAACACTGAAGAATAAAAAAATATCTCCATTACTTCTTTACTTGTTTTGGCTCGTGCTCTAAATCAGGCTCGACATAGAAACATATTACATATATTGGACATAATGTAGGTATAAATTACAAAGCAACCATTCATATACATCCACATCCATATCTGCCAGTGAAGCACCTACAAGGATGGATGGCCGTTTGTTTTCAGCCCACACTCAGGGAGGGGCGCGTCATCTTCCCAAATGTGGTGCTATCCACATTTATCTAATGCTCGGACAATGACAACGTTTTTAACAAGTCCTTCCATACAAGTCTGTATCAGAAGCTCCGTAAACAGATCCCCCTAACATTTGTTATGTGTATTCATTTGTGAGTTCTTGCTAAAATCACATGACGGCGCCGTTTAAAATGATCTGACTTTATTACCGTACTGGATTAACTGGCTGCTCAGATTAGCTGGTTTTTGTTTTTTGCCATTTGTGTTACCAACGGGGAAATTTCAGAGTGCCCTCTGTTGGACAAACGGTGCAACTTTAACACTCTTAACATGGTTGAAGGCCGTTTCTCCCGTCTCTTGTTTACTTTTTAAATTTTCATTTGTCAGCCATTATGAATGCAGATCAGCAGATTGCTCATATTTCCTGATATATCACCGAGACTTTAGTGAGAACAGTAGCTCTAACTTTATGTGTTACTATAGAAGATGAACGCCAACTGTGTTGTGAACTCCCGTTTTGTTGCCTTCAAACTTGGATTATAGCTCTTGTTTTTTGTCTTTTGTAGCCAGAGGTTACCGTATTTAGGAGAACACGCTCCTAATTTATCAGCTCAAGCTTATCCAGGAGGGGCTAGTTTGTCTGCTAGTTTGGATAGTGGCTGCACATAATAGCACTGATGTAACCTACAAATACAGTCTTCAACACAGTTACGTCCTTCATGGAGGACTTTTAGTATTAGTCACATCAGGCACATTTGTTGCCCGGGAATTTTCAAGTGCTTGAAAAAGCCCCAATGTAACCAACATAGTTAAGAAGTTTACTTCATGCCTATGAAACTACTACTGACCTACTTGGAGGTGACCACTTTTTGTCACCCATCACTAGCTTTAAACTCTGCCTCAAAGGGAGTGGTTTTAGCCATTAATGTGGGAGTTAAAGTTACACGTGACCATATTTGAGTAAAAGGGTAGAGCACTAAGTTATTAGCATAAGCTTACGAGGTTAATTAGCAAGCTATAACCATCAACTGTATGGATGCAATGCACAGACGCACATATCGGCTAATTAGTCCTATAAGACTGATTAAAATTCAAGAATTTTATTCACCAAGATGGGAGACAAATGACTTTTTTTAAAGCCAGAATTAGATGGATTTTTACTTTTTGACAGATGTTTCCTCACTTTAAAACTTAACTATACAAACGATCATTTCTCTTCTTATTTCAATTTCAGAATTTCAACATGTACACAACACACAACACAATCTCTGTCATCAGTGTGCTTATGTGAATCTCCTGAGCATTCATAATGACTGATAGTTTGCCAACAGAAGTGATTTGTGCTGTTTGTGGCCAAGAAAAACTATTAAGCCCTCGTGCGTTCTCTCCCACTGGTCCAGTCAAATCGGTCTCTCTGATGTATAAGCATAAACTTTTCTGAAACTGCTTCTAAGCACTATTAATAAGGAAAGGCAGCTAATTCTAGTAATAAAGGTCAAACAGTAGAAAAGAAAAGGCTACATGGTTCTGCTCAGATAGTCCCAATTATGGATGAAGACACAGAGGAAGAGAGGAACAAGGAGATCATCTGGCTGAAGATGTGCTTGCACATGCACGTCTTTAGCTCTGTGTATTTTGTGTAATTTAGAGTTCTACAGTTGGTTTACTTTTCAAAACTAATAGTCGTCCCTGGTGTCTTCGCTTCAGTTTCACACCAATAAATGAAAATGACAGTGTTAGGGGTTTTTTCAGTTGGTGTGTTGAAAGTAAATGCTGCTGGATGACAAAGTAACCTACTTAGTCATGTTTAAGACAGCTGTAGTTCTTGTTTATGGTTCTAATGTCTCAAACAGGGAGTCCCTTCTGATTTTTAGAGCTGTCAGACACGAGCGCATAGTGCTGTTATACAATAACAAATCAGCCACCCACAACTTTGATAAACAAAGCCAGAAAAAAACATAAGGAATTTGAGTTTTGCCAAGACTCCAGTGTATATACGCATAAATTATAAAAATTATCTAAGGACTTGAAATGTGAGAAAAAATACTGAAACACGCTCAATTGCTGTATGTACGATAAACAGCTTTTTTTAACGGATAAAATGGGATAGACAGACATCAGCGTTATGTGTTCACCGTCTTTGAGACATTTGCCCTCGAGACAATGTGCTCTTTGTTATGCAGCAAAGGCAAACTTTTGGGAACTTGTTTTATCAGTCAGACAAAGACACGTGCCATTGTACTTGGCAATGGAATCATTCCATGAAGAATCGGTCAGCTGACCCCTTCAGAATCAATTGGGGGGGTTTTTGTAGGTACTATTCGTGTATTTAATGAGGTCATGTGAATTTTCACCTTTTGACTGCAGCAATTGTCCATGTTACAAAAAAGGGCCTCTAAGTGCAGGATGTTAGGTTGAATTTTCCCACTTCAGTAAATGAAATTAGTAGGAATTAATGAATAATTTGCATCATTTTTGCAGCATTTTCTGAGCTTTTATTTTGTAAGTACAGGAGCTAACCACATTATGTTTTCATTGTTGAAAAACTGTAAACAAATTAATTTTCTTCCACTCAAAGTCCCACTTTTTCATAGTTTCAAGCATCTTTTTGAGCAACTTTAAGCATCAACATCAGGCATATATCAGAACTTTGTAGCAAAACTACACCAGAGTAATGTCTATGACAGAGAGTAACAGACACAAGTAACAGAATAAAGTGTATTTTGGTTAAACGTCACCATATAACTTATGGCTATAGCGTGCCATATAGCTGTAAGACAAAAATACATTTCAAAGAGGTCATTGGTTTGATCCCAGGCTTCTCCGTTCTTCATTCTGAAGTGTCGCTGTGCAAAGTGCTGAGCCCCAAATTGCCCCGATAGACCCAGTGTGTGCTATGTGGGTGACACAAATACCA